TCCAGTTTTGGGCTCCACAGTTCAAAAAGGATGTGGAGAAGCTTGAGAGAGTCCAGAGAAGAGCCACGCACATGATCAGAGGTCAGGGAAGCAGTGCCTACGATGACAGGCTGAGAGCCCTGGGGCTCTTTAGTCTGGAAAAGCGCAGGCTCAGGGGTGATCTGATGGCCACCTACAAGTTTATCAGGGGTGACCACCAGTATCTGGGGGAACGTTTGTTCACCAGAGCGCCCCAAGGGATGACGACTAGGTCGAATGGTCATAAACTACTTCAAGACCGTTTCAGGCTGGACATAAGGAAGAATTTCTTCACTGTCCGAGCCCCCAAGGTCTGGAACAGCCTGCCACCGGAGGTGGTTCAAGCACCTACACTGAACACCTTCAAGAGCAAACTGAATGCTTCTCTTGCTGGGATCCTATGACCCCAGCTGACTTCCTGCCCTTTGGACTCGATGATCTTCCGAGGTCCCTTCCAGCCCTAATGTCTATGAAATCTATGAAAGAGTGCCGAGGGAGCTGGCTGAGGTCCTTGCAGGACCCCCTTGGCAAAACTTTTCCAAATCTTGTGCCGCTCAGGGGAGATCCCTGAGGATTGGAAGAGGGCTAATATTGGGCCCATCTTCAAGAAGGGGAAGAGGGAGGACCTGGGCAACTATAGTCCAGTCAGTCTAACCTCTAGCCCAGGGAAAAATCCTAGAAAAAACAACTCATCAAGGAGTCAACAGGTGATATGCTCGTGGAGGGTAGGATCCTGAACAACAGCCAGCATGGCTGTCATGCGTAGGTCTGGTCTTACTTGGTTATAGAAGGAGATGCGGTTGGTATCTCATCACCTGTACAAGGGAGAGAAGGCTGACATCATACACTTAGACTTCCAAAAGGCCTTTGATCCAATATCCAATGTTATCTTTGTGGGGAAATTGGAAGATTGCGGGTTTAACTGCTCAATGGTTAAGTGGGTAGGAAACTGGCTGTGAGGTAGGACCCAGAGAGTTTTTATGAACGGATCTGTGCTGTCCTGGCGATGAAGTGGCCAGTGGTGTCCCTCAGGGGTCTGTGCTTGGTCCAGTGATTTTCAACATCTTTATCAATGATTTGACTGTGGGAGCATGAACAGCTCACTGGCCAAATCTGCAGACAACACCAAGTTACAGGGGAGCATGGTCACCCCTGAAGACAGGCTGTGGATTCAGGCAGACCTGGACAGGCTGGAGAGTTGGGCGAATTGGAACCAGATGAAGTTCAACACTGAGAAGTGTAAGGTCCTGCACCTTGGTGCAAACAATCCCCAATACACTTACAGGCTCGGTGGTGCCAATTTGACTAGCACCATGACCAAAAGGGATCCAAGGGCAACAACTGACCATTGCATGAACGTGAGCCCTCAATGCGATGTGGTAGCCACCAGGGCAAACAATACTCTGGTACGCATCAATCGATGCATCTCATGCAAAACCAAGGACGTGATTTTTCCGCCGTACTCGGCACTGGGGAGACCACAGCTGCAGTACTGTGTCCGGTTCTGGGCGCCGCACTTCAACAAGGATGTGGAAAAACCGAGGAGGGTCCAGAGAAGAGCCACCCGTATGATCAGAGACTTGCAAGGCAGACCGTACAAGAAGAGGTTGAGGGACTGGGGCCTCTTCAGCCTGAAGAAGAGGAGGAGGCTGAGAGGGGACTTGGTAGCAGCTTACCACTACATCAAGGGCTCAGTGAACACTTGTTCACTAGGGCACTCTTGGGGAAAGCCACAAACTCCTGGAAGAGCATTTTAGGCTCAACTCTAGGAAAAACTTCACAGTCAGGGTGTCCAGACAGTGGTAGAAGCTCCCTCCATAGGTGGTGCAATCACCTTGGACATCTTCAACAGGTAACTGGATGGTCACCTGACCCCAGCTGGCTTTCCTGCCTGGTGCACGGGCCTGGATCCGATGATCTTGCAAGGTCCCTTCCACCCCCCAACAATCTATGAAACGAAAAGGGAAGAGCTGCTTTTCTCCATAGCTTTCAATTTCAGGGAATGGGAACAACACCTGCCTGGACACATTACAGCACAATGTGCTGTGTTTGAGGTCAGCACAGAGCAGGTCTGCAGATCCCCCCGGCACTCTGCACTTGCAGCATTTCTGAGAGCGGAGTAGAGTGGAGGGGACAGCCACAACCCACCTGGCACGAGGTCCTCCGATCTGGAGATTTTCCAACGGTCCTCATCATCACAGACCCAGAGCTCCACCTGTCCTTGCTGGATGCTGCAGATTAAGGCAGGTGTGGGACCTCGATATCCTGTTTGGGGCAGTGGTTAAAGAGGGTTAGTGACTGGGTATTGGATGCAGAATAACCACATGGGATTTGGGGGAAGGGATCTTAAGAACTCAAGGTTTCTACTAGGGCCTTGACAGACAAGCCAGGACGGGCATTTAGGCTGGAAGAGAAGGCATCGCAGGGGGAAGCAGAGCATAGTCCTTATCACCCAGGTGGTGGACAGACAGTCAGAGGAAACAAAGCACCAACCACTCCCTGGTATAGAAAGTGCATCAAACTGACAGTCACCAGGGACAGGCATGGAGATGCAGCGATTCGTGATGTACTAGGGGGCAGAAAGATAAAGCTTTTACTGTTTAAAAGGTACCAGAAAGAAGAGCTATTGGGCCCACACAGGGGTGGATAACATTCATCTTATCACAGTGTAATTCCAGGCAAAGGATTGGAAGTTAACTTCTTCTCAGTTAAGTTTTACAGCGAGGACTTGTGGCAGTGAAGAGCATCCATGACAGGTGGCTGACAACGAGACTTTTTTCTGGGAGAGAGGGTAAAGTCAGCATCATCAGGGCATAGGAGAGGATGATTTTAGAGCAATTGTAGCTGCAACTGAGCAATGCTCCCACCAATGGGACGATCATCCAACGAGGGGAGATGAGCGCACAGGTCGGCAAATACTGCAGGGTTTAAACACGAAGTTCCTGGGACTCATGGACATGGACAAAAGGAGGCAGAAGGACACACGTTTCACAGCATGTGAAAGGGCACAATGTAGAAATGGTCTATGTCGTCCTTGTTGAGCTAGAGAAAGCATTTAAGCACTTCCCTAAGGAAATCCTCTGGGAGAAAGGGAGAAAAAAGGAAGCAAGAGAAAAGCAAACTGATCTACTGAAACATAAGTACTGTCAACCCTGCGCAGAAGCCAGAACAATCCCCTGTATTAGAGATCCTCTGGAAATAAAAACTGCTTTTCACTAGCTCCTGCACCTAGCCCACCTCTCTTATCACAGTGACGGTTGTCTGATCGGCAGAGGGGCTTTAGGAGGAGGAGAAGAACGCTTTTGAGAATGGCAGACTAAGCTTCAGAGCACAGGTCTTTACAGAAATACAGCAAAGCCAGAGAGGGAGTTGTTAGGAAGGAAATGGACAGAAGCTTCCTGTGACCCCTGGTAGAAGCACCTGGGTAACATCACGGGTCCACGTGTCACTAGAGGAAGTGTTAAGGAAATGCATCATCCAGGTGTTGAAGAGGCAGAGACCTCCATGAACTTCTCCTGGGTCATAACCACAGGAGGAGAAATGGGGTTTAGAGATCACAGAATTGAGAACGCTTGGATTATTCAATGCGTTTGGACAGGACATGCTAGTGTCCTGAGAAAAAAGATGGAAGAAGAAAGAAGAAAAATAATTTCCAAGAGCTGTTAGTGAATTCACGCACAATAAATTGAAGACGATATGAATGTGCTGAGAAGGCAAAGGGAGATAGTGTTGCCAAGGAACTGCTGAAATTGGATGCACGGGCAGTTGCAAGAATGGGAAGACACAAGTGAAGGCGGCTGGATCAAATGAAGGAGGATCTATCAAATAGGAAGCGTGAGAGCAATGTGATCACCGACAGAGCAGTGGGGAGGAAGCGGATTGAAACCACCAGGGAGAAGTGCGTGAGGAGGAGACTGTTGAAACACAGGAAAAAGAGACAATAAATGTCAGAGTCCGCATAGCACCAACCAGGGGGAAGCAAGAACCAGAGCCTTACCCAGGGAAACGAGGGCTTGGTAAGTCTTCAGCATCTGGTCCCAGTAAAGCACCTTGTCTTCATCTTCCAGCAGCTCCCACTCCTCCCGCGTGAAATACACTGCCACGGCCTCAAACACCTCCCGGAGCTGCGGGCACAAGCGTTGCACCATTAGGAAGAACTTCTTCACAGTTCGAGTGGCCAAGGTCTGGCATGGGCTCCTAAGGGAGGTGGTGCTCTCCTCTGCCCTGCGGGTCTTCAAGAGGAGGTTAGATAGGCATCTCGCTGGGGTCATCTAGACCCAGCACTCTTTCTTGCCTATGCAGGGGGTCGGACTCGATGATCTATTGAGGTCCCTTCCCACCCTAACATCT